CGCTTTGGTCGGGAGGGACCCGGGGGTCCTGGCGTGGTGTGTGGATGGGCTTCCCCCAGGCCTCGCCGAGCCTTGGCGGGGACTCTGGAGCCTGGGCTCGCAGCCCCTGCACCGCACACCTTCCTCACCCGGGACCAGGAATGGCCGAGTCCGTAGGAACTTGAGGAGGAGGGTAAAGGCGCGCCCGGACCCTGCCAGCCTCTCAGTAGCGTCCCCCTCCCTGGCTGTGGCCATGGTTGTGCCAGGGCCAGGCTGGGTCCAGCAGGCTCTGTGGGCGTCTCCTTCCTCTTCTTCCTGGAAGTAGGAAGAGGAGCTCGGCCCGGCCTGGCTCTGGTCTGAGGACCGAGACTGTCTGAGGGGCTTTCCCTCTGGGGGAGGCCTGAGCGTTGACTTGCAGTGCCGTGTTTCTCCTCTTGTCCAGGGGAACGTAGATGGCTGGACACAGGATCTAGAGGCTCCAAATAATGTGGAGATGTTTCGACCTTCAGGTCAGTGGGACCCGGCAGGGGACTGCTGCTGTCTCTCTCCCGGGAAACTGACCATCTTTGTCCTTGTGATTCCTCAGGTTCCACGGGGCTCATCCCCCCGTCCCACTTCCAAGCGCGGCCCCTTCCAGCCATGCCGCGAATGGCTCCCACCTGGGTCTCAGACATCTCCCTGGCCCATCGAGGTGTTTCAGAGAGGTGGCCAGACTTCCAGAGGCCTCCGGGGATCGTGTGGGAGCAGGACGTTTCTGGCGATGGGCAGGAGCCGGGGTGGAGGGACAGGTAGGGGCCGCTGCCGCGCCCTTCACTGAAATAGGTCCTTACCCTAGTTCAGCCCTTAGTCCCATCATTTGTTCATTTATCCATAGCAAGTATTGGTGCCTACAGTGCATAAATAGTACGAAGAGCATGCTAGATGCTGGGGGTGGGATAACAAACAAATAGGAGAAATCCTGATATCAAGGATTTCCTTAAAATTCCAAGGGAAGAGACATCGACCAACAGCTGATCATAATCAGGCAAGATACCGTGTCCTGTGCTAGTATGGACTCATTCTGGCGGATGGTGCCGTCTGTAGAGCTTCTCATCGGTGGTTCCTGCGTGTCTTTTCCCTGATAAACTGGCAGCCGGTGTGCATTGTGCTCTAGAGTGGGATTGCGGTGGGTCTCCCTGGGGCCCACCGGCGGGCAAGGAGCATGATGACGACAGGGAGCCCCAGAGCTGCTGCCAGGACACGGGCTCTGTTCCTAGCTTGGTACCGGCTCCGGTCCTGTGGCCGTTCACTTCGTTTCTGTAGGCTGTCGTTCCCTGCTTAAGCCCTGCGGTCCGGGCCTCAGTGAAGGAGCTGTGCCGAGAGCCGGGTCACAGGTGCTTTCAGCAGCGGTTGGGACCACTGGTGGCCCGTGAGGTCCGAAAGGTTGGCGACCGCTGCTTTAAGCTGCATGTGCACCAGGGGACTTCGCTAAAGGCTGGGACTGCATAGTTTATTGACGTGCTGTCCTCCCGAACCCCTCACTCAGCGTACCTGACTCTAGACCAGCGGTTCTCAACCTGTGGGTCGCGACCCCTTTGGGGGTCGAACGACCCTTTCACAGGGGTCGCCTAAGACCATCGGAAAACACATACATAATTACATATTGTTTTTGTGATTAATCACTATGCTTTAATTATATTCAATTTGTAACAATGAAAATACATCCTGCATATCAGATATTTACATTACGATTCATAACAGTAGCAACATTACAGTTATGAAGTAGCAACGAAAATAATTTTATGGTTGGGGGTCACCACAACATGAGGAACTGTATTAAAGGGTCGCGGCATTAGGAAGGTTGAGAACCACTGCTGTAGACGCTCCCAGCCAGCACCTGGCCGTACTGATACTGGGAGCCCTTGCAGAATTCAGAAGTCCCTCCCTGCACTTCCAACCTCTTCAGAATGTGTGGCCCAGTGATACGCACAGTTGCTGTTAAGACATCAGCCTGTATATAGCTCTCTCTAGAGCAGCGATTTTCAACCTTTTTCATCTCATGGCACATTACTAAAATTTTGTGACACACCAAAAAATGTTATTTTTTGCCTTTCTGACCAAAAAATAGGTATACTTTTGATTGATTTACAAAATAATAATTACCTACCCTTTCTGCTTCAAAGTAACTTTTTAAAAAATCAGGTGCTGCCCAACTTGCATGGCTCAGTGATTGAGCGTTGACTTATGAACCAGGAGGTCATGGTTCGATTCCCAGTCAGGGCACATGCCTGGGTTGCAGGCTTTATCCCCAGTGAGGGGCATGCAGGAGGCAGCCAATCAATGATTCTCTCTCACTATTGCTGTTCTATCTCCTCCCTCTCTGAAATCAATGAAAAAATATTTTTTAAAAATTAAGTAAATAAAAAGTTAGGTGCCTATACTTGTAATTTATATAAGGATTTCTGATACCAAGAATGAACCAATGAGATGCAACCTTATTCAACGTGACCAATAAGATGCAACTCTATATGACCTATATATTTATGGTCCAAGACTGAGTATTCACATCCCACAGCTATTTTTGTTAGCTGGTGTCATTTTTTTTACTTGACAATCTAAGGGAAAGAGGTCAGTGCCCCTGACTAAATAGTTAGGTATTGCATGTTTGAAAAATTCTTGTGGCACACAGTTGATAATCACTGCTCTAGAGGGCCATGAGCCCAGAGACTAGACCTGATATGCTTAGTAGGGCCTTGATGAATGGTGATGGTGATGGAAATGCAGAGATCCCTCAGGTCCAGGTTCATTCCCACATGTGAGCAGAGGGAGCTCTTCTCCTGGGGCCGCCTTCGCAGCCCCAGAGACAGGAATCACCTGTGCTACCCTGTCTTTCAAGGTCTGTGGAGCTGCAGGGATCACAGGCCTTGCGCCAGCAGGCAGAGCTGATCTCTCGGCAGCTGCAGGAGGTGCGACGGCTTGAGGAGGAGGTCCGGGTCCTGCAGGAAAACTCGCTACAGCAAAAGATGAAGCTGGAGACCCAGGCCATGGAGCTGGAGGCTCTGGCACGGGCAGAGAAGGCTGGCCGAGCTGAGGCCGAGGGCCTGCGTGCCGCCCTGGCTGGGGCTGAGGTTGTCCGGAAGAACCTGGAAGAGGGGAGCCAGCGGGAGCTGGAGGAGGTTCAGAGGCTGCACCAGGAGCAGGTGAATGTGGGGGTGGGAAGGCCTCACCTTCACAGTGGGGATCTGGCCAGGGCCTTCCCTGCAGAAAGCAGATATGGGAAAAGACGCCCACGAACAGTGGCGGGATGAAAAGCATGCCCTGGAGAGAGGGGGACCTTGGTGTTTTGGCATTATTCAGATGGCTCTTGTTCCCAGGACTCAGCTGACCACCCGCCACCTGAAGCCCTCCTTCCCCTCCAGTAGGAAGTAGTTTGTCTTCCTACCTCACTCTGGGCACCCCGTTAATCTGGGAGCTCCGGCGGGGACAGGTCCCGAGGTGAGCTGGGAAGGAGACTGTTCAGTTGGTAAGCATTTATCAGTGCTTACTCTTCCATCCCTGAGACAGGAGCTGGGCCTCTGGTGAACACACCAGCGAGTCCCTGCCCGCCTGGGTGCAGCTGGCGGCCTAAAGGGGGACCCACATTCAGCACTTGATTTAATCCTAAGTAGTTGCCTGCCATTGGGAGAAGTGCCATGAAGAAGGACAAGGGAGCCTTAAGCTGGTAGGGGAGTTAGAAAGGTCATTTTAATAAGTCAGCATGTTAAGAAATGAAACCATAGAAAGGTCATTTTAATAAGTCAGCATGTTAAGAAATGAAACCATAATGATACCGGAAGAAAATCTGGGTGAATTCCTGGTAACCTTGAGTGGGGAAGGTCTTTACATATGAATCAAGATCCTGAGCCACTAAAGAAAGGATTGGAATGTTGACTGTATAACACTACTGGTAAACTTAGGAATGGCAATAAAAGTAAAATTAAAGGACAACTGGTAGCCCTAGCTGGCTTGGCTCAGTGGGTAGAGCGTCAGCCTGTAGACTGAGGGGTCCTGGGTTCGCTTCCAGTCAAGGGCACATGCCCGGGGTTGCAAGCTCGACCAGGAGGGTATGCAGGAGGCAGTCAGTTAATGATTCTCATCATTGATGTTTCTTTCTCTTTTTCCCCTCTCCCTTCCTCTCTGAAATCAATAAAAAAATAAAAAAAAGGACAACTGGTAAATTAGGAACAATATTTACAGCTCATATCACAGAAAGAAGCAAATATCTCTACTATATAATGTGTGTGTAGAAATTGATACAAGGAAAACAGTAATCCAGCCAGAGATAGTGCAAAGAAAAATATAAATGCCTTTAGATTCGCGAAAGATGCATAATGATAAGAGGTGACTTTTTTTTTTTTTTAAATATATTTTATTGATTTTTTACAGAGAGAGGAAGGGAGAGAGATAGAGAGTTAGAAACATCGATGAGAGAGAAACATCGATGAGAGAGAAACATCGATCAGCTGCCTCCTGCACACGCCCCACTGGGGATGTTCCCACAGCCAAGGTACATGCCCTTGACCAGAATCGAACCTGGGACCCTTCAGTCCGTAGGCCGGCGCTCTATCCACTGAGCCAAACCGGTTAGGGCGATAAGAGGTGACTTTTAAAAAAAACATTTTTATTGATTTCAGAGAGGAAGGGAGAGGGAGAGAGAGATAGAAACATCAGTGATGAGAGAGAATCATTGATTGGCTGCCTCCTGCACGCCCCCTACTGGGGATCGAGCCCGCAACCCGGGCATATGCCCTTGACCAGATTCGAACCTGGGACCTTTCAGTCTGCAGGCTGACGCTCTATCCACTGAGCCAAACCGGCCAGGGCAAGAGGTGACTTTTGTTCTGCGTAGAAGTTGGCTTGTCAGGCATGGGCGGTGGAGATGGGAGCTGCTGTGACGTGGGGCAGCACGTGGGACAGGAGGCGGCCAGAGGGATTTGAGGGCAGGAGCTGAGGGGCTCTGGGTGGTCCTGGGACTGTGAGGCCTCAGGCCCATCCAGAACTTTATCTTAAGAACAATGAGCGCCCGGCTTAGTGGCATGGCTCAGTGGTTGAGCGTCGACCCATGAACCAGGAGGTCACAGTTCGATCCTGGGTCAGGGCATATGCCTGGATTTTGAGCTCAGCCCCCAGTAGGGGGTGTGCAGGAGGCAGCCAATCGATGTCTCTCTCATCATTGATATTTCTCTCCTCTCTGAAATCAATAAAAAAATATTTTTTCAAAAAAGAACAATGAGCAACCAGTGAAAGGTTTAAAACAGGGAAATGACATGATCATATTTGTGATTTCTCTAAGTGTGGCGTGGAAATTGGGCGAAGGGAGACCAACTGGAGATGAGGACAGCCGTGTTCCCACTTCCTTGTCTGTCCCACGACTCCCTCAGTGTCCCTGACACCACTGAGAGGTGCAGTGAGGAAAGGGCGAGCCGCCTGCCTTCCTAGAGCTTCCTTTGTGTGGGCTGTGGGACTGCAAGGTCCTCTCAGATGACAAGTGCTGGAGGCCAGGGGCAGGCAGCAGGACAGAGTGGTGGTGGGTGGGGATTGGAGGGCCCTGGGAGGCCTCCCGGGGAGGTAGCGGAGGGGACGTGGAATCTGAGAAGAGCCATAGGAAGTGGGCAGGGGCCCAGGCACGGGGTTGTTGCAGCCGAGGGAAGGAGCTGGGTTTTGCTCAGAATGCCAGCCTCTGGAGGTTCCTCAAGACTGGTCAGGGGATGGTTGCTGTCGTCTAGACCAGAGGTGAGGATGGCCTACCTCAGGCTGGTGGCTGGAGGTGAAGAGAAGTGAAGATATGATTTGGGGGAAGACCAGACAGGAACTGCTGATGAGTTGGAGTGTGATGGGGACTTAAAGGCTCTAGGGTCGGCCCCATTTGCCAGGCCTCTGAGGCCCTGTGGGCGATGTGCTGGGCTGTTGTCTAAGGTCACAGGAAGTGGGAGACTAGGCCAGAGCCAGGGGAGATTTGGAAAGCCTGGGTGTGGGGGTGAGCCAGCCCCTGCTGAGACCCCTCTCTCTGCAGCTGTCCTCCTTGACACGGGCTCACCAGGAGGCTCTTTCCAGTTTGACCAGCAAAGCCGAGGGCTTGGAGAAGTCTCTGACCGGTCTGGAAACCAGCAGGGCCGGGGAAGCCAAGGAGCTGGCCATGGCCCAGAGGGAGGCTGAGCTGCTGCGGGAGCAGCTGAGGTAAGTTGGTGGGTGGCCAAGGGGGGCCCAGCAGGTGGTGGGTGGGGTGAGTCTCCAGGGTGCCCCCTGATGGCTGTCCTATTCCCACACTCATCCTAGCAAGACCCAAGAAGACTTGGAGGCTCAGGTGACCTTGGTTGAGAAGCTAAGGAGATATGTGGGGGAACAAGTTCCCCCCGAGATTCACGACCAGGCATGGGAGTCAGAGCGACTGAAACTTCTAGAGACCGTGCAGGTGAGGGTGCTGGGCACATCTGTGCAGGTGGGTGGCCCAGGACCTGGGAGGACCTCCCCCAGGAGGGAAGGGTGCAGACCGGTGCTCTCCGCCCTGCTCCCTGGCAGCACTTGCAGGAGGACCGGGATGGCCTGCACACAACGGCGGAGCTGCTGCAGGTGCGCGTGCAGAGCCTCACGTACATCCTGTCCATGCAGGAAGAGGAGCTGGCCAGGAAGGTAGGACCCTCGCCTCCCTGTGGGCGGGCCCGGCTGAGAGCTCCCCTCCCTGCACACACACCTCTGCTCTCTGTGGCTCCTGTCACCTGGGCAGCCCAGAGAGAAACCAAGATGCAGCTTCCTCCTCTGCTCCCCAGGAGCCACACGACCGCTTCCCCCGCCCACAGGTGCAACCGTCAGATTCCCTGGAGCCCGAGTTCTCCAGGAAGAGCCAGGCCCTGCTGAAGCACTGGCGGGAGAAGGTGTTTGCCCTCATGGTGCAGCTAAAGGCCCAGGAACTGGAGCACGGAGCGTGCGTGCAGCAGCTGAAGGGACAGGTCACTTGGCGTTCTTCCTCCCCATGGTTACCCCTGTTTTCTTTACATAAGGGGTGGCATTTAGTTAACCAGCGTTACCGAGTGGCTGCCACGAGCTGGGAGCAGCCCTAAACAAAGACAGAGCTTAGGTCCTGGAGCAGATACAACAGGCAAGCAGACAGTTAGGTAACGTCAAGAAATCATGTGTGCTGTGAAGAGTGGGGTGACCCACCACACGACAGACCAGGGGGCAGCCTTAGGTGGGTTGGTGAGGAACGGCCCTCCTGGCGCAGGGCACAGGCTTTGCGTGGAGACCTGGACTCAGGAAGCCAAGCTTCTTGTCTCCCCGGGTGGAGTTCATTCTGAGACCTTTGTACTGCCCCTTCGATCCCAGTGCCCACCTGCCTCTTCTCCCCCAGGTGGCAGAGTTCCAGGAAAGAGTGGCTGCCCAGAGCCAGGAGCAAGCCATCCTGCAGCGCTCCCTGGAGGACAAAGCTGCGCAGGTGGAGGTAGAGCGGATGGGCGCCAAGGTCAGAATCGGCCACAGTCATGGGGCTAAGGGAGGCCTGGGAGCCCCGGTCAGTGGGCCAAGGCCCCAGAGAAAGGACCCTTTCCTTTATTGTCTCCCTCACAGTCCCTGCAGATGGAGCTGAGCCGTGCCCAGGAAGCCTGTCGCCGGGGGCAGCAGCAGACAGCCTCGGCTGAGGAGCAGCTGAAGCGTGTGGCCAAAGCTATCAACAGGTGTCTGGATAGAGGTGGGGGTGCTGTGGTTGGGGTAGGATTTCTGCTTCCCCAGCTTCCGAGAACCTTGGAGTTTAAGAGCCTTAGGCAAGCACAGCTAGAAAGATGGCCACTGGAAGGTGCAGACTGGAGGGACTTAGCTACTGGGGGGTGTGGGCGGAGGGGCTTAGCCTCTGGAGGGTGTGGGCGGAGGGACTTAGCCTCTGGAGGGTGTGGGCGGGAGGGACTTAGCCTCTGGAGGATGTGGGCTGAGGGACTTAGCCTCTGGAGGGTGTGGGCTGGGGGGATTTAGCCTCTGGAGGATGTGGGCTGAGGGGCTTAGCTGCTGGGGTGCAGGGTTCGAGGGACTTTACTGCAGGTGGTGGTCGTGCAGGGCTGGAGAACTTAGCCATGTTAAAGCTCCTGTGTTCATTTTCTGGGGCAGCGCCTCTGCATTCACACCAGGGTCACTCTGACTGCCATTGCCTGTGTGACTCGAGGTGAAGAAGCTTCCTCCTGCATTTGGTCCAGTAACAGCTTGAGCTAGTGGAGCACTGGGAGGATCCCGCCTTCACAGCTGTTCTTGGATGAGGAGTGTGGGGACTTGCTCTTTACTTCCTCTTTAACATTTTACAGGCATGCCCTGATTACTTGGAAACAATCGTCCAAAGCTTTACACTTTATCGGCATATAGGCAGTCCATTTAAAGTGCATGACAGCTCCTTCTTAACCAATTGCAAGTCCCTGTGCATTTCCTTCCTGATTTCTTATATGGCCTTCAGAAGGGCCTAAAGGAGAAATGAAGCTTCTGGTGCTAGGAAGCACCCTTCCTTGCCTTGGACATTGGGGTACCTGGTCTGCATGGAGCTCTTTGTTTTTTCCAATACATTTTTTTATTTATTGATTTCAGAGAGGAAGGGAGAGGGAGAGAGAGATAGAAACATCAATGATGAGAGAGGGTCATTGATTGGCTGCCTCCTGCACACCCCCTACCGGGGATAGAGCCCGCAACCCAGGCATGTGCCCTGATCGGGAATTGAACCGTGACCTCTTGGTTCATAGGTTGACACTCAACCACAGAGCCACACTGGCCAGGCCTGTGTGGGCCTGCTGGTTTGTTGCCTGGGCTCTGTAAATGTTAACTGCTACCCTAGCTCAAAATTGTGTTGCAGGATGGACTTTGCTCACCATCCCCTTCTGTTGAATTTATACCTTGTGGACTAATTGAACTTTAAAAAATGATGGAAGATTTCATACATACATGGAAGTAGAGCGGGTAGTTGCGATAAACCACCACCTGAGTTCAGTCCATCGCATGTGCTCCCACCTGCAGGAGAGCAGAAAGACTCGCTGCGGGCAGGGTTTTCCTTTGGTACGAGGACATACTGAAATGGGCCTTGCTATTGGCTAATGGCCAAAAAGTCCACAGCCCACGCTTGGCCTGTGGCCAGATGTGTTAGCTAGTTTTTAGACGGCTTGGAGACCTTACCAGAAAATGGCTTTAATAAGAGCCACGGAAGGGGTTGGAATCACCAGAGCAGTTTCAGGTAAAAGTGGTCTCTGCTGTGCCGAGGGATACAACAGGCAGCCTTTGTGTCTGCCTGTTTTTCTGTTGGTGGAGACTTGACTGCCCCCGAGTTCCAGCCCTGCCCCTGGATGCTGCCATGCCCCCTGGTTTTGAGCCACTTTGGTTCTGGTGGGGTCATAGCCATCCTTCCCGGGACCCTGGGAAGGATGACGGTGATCTCTGATGGCACTTAATGCTTCTTGGGAATGGGTCCCTTAGAAAACCAACGGAGGCCATGGCCCTGTTCCTTAGGAAGAGGCACCTAAGTGCACACCCCCTGAGTGTGGCACACGTGCCGGGGGAGGCCCCGACCTGCAGAGGCACCAGGGGCCTGGGGTGGAAGTCCAAATCCGCTAGAGATGAGCCAGCCTGTGGCACTCGCCTTGGCTCCGCAGAGCCGTGTCTGCTGGCCCCTGACGGCAGAGGCATCTGGGCCCAGAGGAGGTGTGCCCGTGAACCTCATGGCGGCTTTACTGCTGGGCCCAGAGGAGAAGCTGGGGGGCCAGGAGCAGCGTGCTTTTCTCATGAGCAGCTGGGCCCTTGGATGTGGCAGTCACTCCAGGGCTCAGGCCCCAGGTTTTCCTGTTTTATCAGCCAAGGAGCCCGGCACAACTTGGCTTCAGCTTTTCTTTTCCCAGCTTCGATTTCCTTCCCTGCTGCCCGCAGGTCCGCCGCTGAACAGGCTGGAGGGAGGTGTTCTACAGCAGGTCAAGTCCTGGGGGTGAGGTGGGGTGGAAGGTGAGCAGCCTTGTATCTTGTCCAGCTTTCAGACCTGGATCCAGAACACCATGGCCGAGGTGGAGCAGGCTGCAGCCCGGCTGCCCAGCCTCAGTAGCCGAGTCAGCTATGCCGTCCGCAAGGTCCACACTATTCAGGGTGGGTAGGCAGCTGCCAGACCAGATCTGCCCCGCCCCGCCCTGCCCTACCAGCTCTCTGTTGCCCGTGTCCATCCTCCTACCTTCTCATCAGTCAGAGCCTTTTCCCCTTCCTCCCCACCTCCCTTTCCTCTCCGAATGCTGCTGCTGTCTGCCTTCCTCCAGGTCTGATGGCTCGAAAACTGGTCCTTGCTCAGCTGCGCCAGGAGAGGTGAAGTTTGGGGCACTTGGAAGTGGATTGGAGGATGGTGGTGGGGCTTTCAGGTGTTGGTTGTTGGGACCCAAAACAATAGGAATGAGGGATGGGGTGAAGGAGTCAGGCAGCTGGGTGACCCCTCCCCCACTCTGTCTCAGCCACCCCCCAGCCCCACCAACCAAGGAGGTGAGCCTTGAGTTGGAGCAGCTGCGGGAAGAGCGGAACCGCCTGGATGCAGAGGTGCAGCTCAGTGCCCACATCATCGAGATGAGCCAGCCTGTGGCACTCGCCTTGGCTCCGCAGAGCCGTGTCTGCTGGCCCCTGACGGCAGAGGCATCTGGGCCCAGAGGAGGTGTGCCGTGAACCTCATGGCGGCTTTACTGCTGGGCCCAGAGGAGAAGCTGGGGGGCCAGGAGCAGCGTGCTTTTCTCATGAGCAGCTGGGCCCTTGGATGTGGCAGTCACTCCAGGGCTCAGGCCCCAGGTTTTCCTGTTTTATCAGCCAAGGAGCCCGGCACAACTTGGCTTCAGCTTTTCTTTTCCCAGCTTCGATTTCCTTCCCTGCTGCCCGCAGGTCCGCCGCTGAACAGGCTGGAGGGAGGTGTTCTACAGCAGGTCAAGTCCTGGGGGTGAGGTGGGGTGGAAGGTGAGCAGCCTTGTATCTTGTCCAGCTTTCAGACCTGGATCCAGAACACCATGGCCGAGGTGGAGCAGGCTGCAGCCCGGCTGCCCAGCCTCAGTAGCCGAGTCAGCTATGCCGTCCGCAAGGTCCACACTATTCAGGGTGGGTAGGCAGCTGCCAGACCAGATCTGCCCCGCCCCGCCCTGCCCTACCAGCTCTCTGTTGCCCGTGTCCATCCTCCTACCTTCTCATCAGTCAGAGCCTTTTCCCCTTCCTCCCCACCTCCCTTTCCTCTCCGAATGCTGCTGCTGTCTGCCTTCCTCCAGGTCTGATGGCTCGAAAACTGGTCCTTGCTCAGCTGCGCCAGGAGAGGTGAAGTTTGGGGCACTTGGAAGTGGATTGGAGGATGGTGGTGGGGCTTTCAGGTGTTGGTTGTTGGGACCCAAAACAATAGGAATGAGGGATGGGGTGAAGGAGTCAGGCAGCTGGGTGACCCCTCCCCCACTCTGTCTCAGCCACCCCCCAGCCCCACCAACCAAGGAGGTGAGCCTTGAGTTGGAGCAGCTGCGGGAAGAGCGGAACCGCCTGGATGCAGAGGTGCAGCTCAGTGCCCACATCATCCAGCAGGAGGTGGGCCGGGCCCGGGAGCAAGGTACGCTTGGTCGCCTGGCCTGGGTCCCTGCTTCTAGCTGGGACAGAGTCGGCACGCTGGGGCTGGGGGCTGGGGGCTGGGGCCGAGGACATGGAGAGGACCAAGGGAGCCTGAGCCCACCCCTTCCCAGGGGAGGCGGAGAGGCAGCAGCTGAGTGAGGTGGCCCAGCAGCTGGAGCAGGAACTGCGGCGGACCCAGGAGTCCCTGGCCAGTGTGGGGCTGCAGCTGGAAGCGGCTCGCCAGGGCCAGCAGGAGAGCATGGAGGAGGCTGCTAGCCTGCGGCAGGAACTGACCCAGCAGCAGGAGGTCTACGGGCAAGGTGTGCAGCAGGGAGATGGGGTGGAGGGTGGGGTCGACGAGCCACGGCTCCCCGACACCCCATGTGCACCTTCACCCCAGCTCTGCAAGAGAAAGTGGCGGAAGTGGAATCCCGGCTGCGGGAACAGCTCTCAGAAGCAGAAAGGAGACTGAACGAGGCCCGGAGGGAGCACGCCAAGGCTGGTGAGGCTCGCGGGTGGACGTGGGCATCCAGGACGTGGACATGTGTAGACACAGGTTATTTTAGAAGCTTTCTGGGAAGCTTCCTTGGAAGGTGCTGGAGTTACCAAGCACTCAGGTAGCCAGCACCCTCCACAGAGGCGACGCCCCTCCATGCCTCCCCACCGAGGACCCCCAGCTCTTTAGTAGGAAAAATGTCTAACCCCTCGCAAGGGAGGACAGTCCTGTGATGAGCGCCTGCACCGTCCTTCTGCGCCTCGACCCAGCCCTTGCTCACGCCCTCGCTCACCTGCCACACTGGCTCCTCTGTGCACACACCACCAGATACATTTCTGGGGAGTCAGTGAATTACAAGCATCATGGCTGTTGACCTGCATCTCCTACGGAGAGGAAAGTGTCTCATAAGCCTCAACGCCATTGCCACATTGATGGAAATGTACATTTGTTGGACAAAATCTAATACTCGGTTCATATCCAGTTTCCCCTCAGGGCTCCGGGAAGGTTCGGGTGGGGAGCAGATTGACAGGGTCCTAGAGCGGCAACCCCTCTCCCTGTACAGAAGGGGTGGTCACCAAGCTAGGACCCAGCGCTCCTGCCCATCATCCCAGTCTTGTTTTCATGGTGCCTCGCGACCTCTGGGCAGCCCCACACCTGTCCCCTGCTTCCCCACAGTGGTCTCCCTGGGCCAGATGCAGCGCAAAGCCACCCGGGAAAAGGAACGGAACCAGGAGCTCCGGCGCCTGCAGGAAGAGGCCCGGAAGGAGGAGGGGCTGCGGCTGACCCAGCGCCTGCAGGAGCTGCAGAGGGACAAGAACCTCCTGCTGGTAGGGGAGGCGAAGGCTGGGCTGGTGGGGAGTAGAGGTGTGGAGAGAAGCGGGGGAGGCTCTGCCCTGCTAGGTGGCGTTGAACCCTCTCCTTCCCAGGCCACCTTGCAGCAGGAGGGTCTCCTCTCCCATTACAAGCAGCAGCGACTGTTGGCAGTCCTGGATAAGGGAGGGTCTGTGCGGCCCAGCCCCCGGCCGGCAGGGCCATCGGCACCAGCACTTCCAGCAGCAGCGCTTGGCCCCAGGGCAGCCACTAAAGGTAGTGGTCTAAGTGGGAAGGGACAGATGGTGTGTGGGTCGGGGAGCACTTCTAGAACCTCTACCCCAGATACTCCAGTGCATGAGCCTTGTTCTCTGTGACCCTTTATTCACATCTGCCATGGACCCGAGAACCTCCTCCCTCACCCCCCCACCCCCAGGGGCAGCCCTGCTCCTCTGCACAGAACCTCATGGCCTTCTCTTGTCTGACTCCATCCCCTGGTCTTTCCCAGAATCCCTCTCTGTCCTGCTGGATGACCTGCAGAGTCTGAGTGAGGCCATTTCCAAAGAGGAGGCCGTTTCTCAAGGAGACAACCAGAACTCTCCTGTGGCCAGGGGCTCGGAGTGCCTGGGGGCTCAGGGGGGCCCAGCGGGCCAGGAGGATCGTGAAATGGGGTGAGGTTTGGGGGCTTGCCCTCAGGGATACCAGCCACCAAGGTGTCTGGATTTTGTGCCTCAATAAAGATGACTGAATAGCCCTCGCCGGTTTGGCTCAGTGGATAGAGCATCTGCCTGCGGACTGAAGGGTCCCGGGTTCAATTCCAGTCAAGGGCACAGGCCGGGGTTGCAGACTCGATCCCTAGTGGGGCGCGTGCAGGAGGCAGCCGATCAATGATCTTCTCTCATCATTGATGTTTCTATCTTTCTTTCCCTCTTTCTTCCTTTCTGAAATCAATAAAAATACATGTTTTTTCAAAAAGATGACTAAACAGAGCCATTGCACAGACGTGTTGTCTCTGGGACTCTGTGCAGCCGCCGCCGGGAAACAGGGTCCCACGCAGAGGGCGCCTTTCCCAACCCCTTTCCTAGGTTGCTGGGAAGCTTTTTGAGAAGCCCCAGGTTTTCTTTATTCTCTAGTTTCAAACTCTTTACCTCTGGAAGGTGATCAGCACCAGAGTGAGGAGGATAAACCTCACCCACTCGGCAGGCAGGGCCCCGACTCAGGGCCCGGGGTTGGGGGGGGCGGGAGGGGAGGGGAAGGCAGGTCCCTGGGAGAGACGATGGACAAGTGCCCAATGAACAACGAGCGTTTCAAACAAGTGCTGTGAGAGAAAAGCAAGGACGGTGATTTGACAGGCGCTGACGGGTCGGGGTGGCCTCTGAGGGGGACGTGGCTGGACCTGGGGTGGGTCCGGCTGTGCCGACTGGGAAGAGTCCCCGCAGGGCAGGCTGGAGGGCTCACCCTGAGTCTGCAGAAAGCCCTCGAGTACTTTTATATTTTTTAAAAATATATTTTTATTGATTTCAGAGGAAGGGATGGGAGACTGGGGGTCAAGCCTGCAACCTGGGAATCGAACCATGACTTCCTGGTTCATAGGTTGATGCTCAACCACTGAGCCAGTCGTCTGGGCTTGAGTACTTTTTTTTTCTTAAATATTTTTACTGATTTTAGAGAGAGGAAGAGAGAAACATCAATGATGAGAGAGGATCATTGATTGGCCCGCAACCTGGGCATGTGCCCTTGATGGAAATCGAACCCAGGACTCTTAAGTCTGCAGGCCGATGCTCTATCCACTGAGTCAAACAGGCTAGGGCTGGGTTTGAGTACTTTTTAAACAGGGAAGCAGCACACAATCCAGCTTGTTTTTAAGAGCCCAGGTGGCTGGCTGTGGGTGTGGGCCAGATGAAGAGCGGACTAGAGTGTGGCAATGGCGTGGGCTCGTGGGGCAGCCGGGGACAGTGGTGTCTTGTGCTGCTGGGGAGACCCGGTGGGGAACTACTTGGGGAGGAAGTGAGTTCTGTTTTGGCCACATTATTTCTCACCTGTAGGCTGAGGAGCCCTTCCTGAGGGAAAGTCCCAGCAGGACTCCTCAGGCTTAGACCTAAAGGGTGAGGGGGGGAGGCAGGCAGAGTTGGAGCCAAGGTCAGGAGGGGGCTGGAGGGGCAGGAGGAGGTCCAGAGGGAGGACGGGAGGCTGGGATGACTGAGCTGAGAGCCTCTGGCGTGACTGCTGGAACTGCGCTGAGGTGGAGAGAAGGAATCAGGAAGTCCTCACCTTCCTGGCCCGCCCACCCGCGGCTCCTGGAGGGAATTCCTCGAGGCCCCTGCGCCCTGGAGCAGCTGCTTGGTCCTGAGGGAGTGGACCTTCCAGGGGAGGCCTGAGCCCCAGGGGGAGAGCTCAAACAGTGGAGGGCGGAGGCTCGGACACTACTGACACCCTCCTGGGTGCATCCCAGGCATTCCGAGGAACCTACCCCTCCCCGGCCCTGCCCTCAGCCCTGTAATTACCCGGCCCCAGCCGGCTTGCTCCCATTCCTTGGCTTCCAGTGGCTTCGAGGAAAGAGGCGGAAGTCCCTGTGATTAGAGATGACAGTAGGAGACAAAAAGGAGGGACGCCAGCCTCCGGGTTACACGTCAGCATGGCCTTCCAAGCGTGTTTGACTGGTTAGGCTCTGATGGGACTCCTGTGTCACTGGGCTGGCCCTCCCAGAGATGGGCCTCCTCCCCTATAAAGCCTGTTGGGGTTCCCAGGCACCCAGGCTCAGCCCACCCCTGACATTGGGGGCCAGGAGACAGCCATGATGCTCAACTGGAAGCTGCTGGGGATCCTGCTGCTTTGCCTGTACCCGGGAGGTGCGCTGGGAATAGAGGCGGGTGCATTTGGGGTGAGGGGGATGGTCAAGGTGCGAAGAAGGCGGCCACTAAGAAGGAGGGGTGAACTGGATGCATAGGGATGAGGTTCTGGGAATTCGCTTGAGGGGCAGAGTTAAAGGGATGGGAGAGGTGCGCGTGTAGCTCAGAGCGCATGTCTTGCTGGTTGGGAGGTAGCTCCATGTGGCCATTTAGGTCAGAATTCAGGTGTGCGGAGCTGAGGTCTATGTGAAGGAGGGTGGAGGTCACGGGGTGCCACTTGGGGCCAACGTGTAGACCATTTGGGGGCTGCAGACCAGCACAGGGGCCATGCCAGTGGGATGACCCAATCAGGGCTGGATGGAGCTTACTGGGGGTGGGGGGGTCCTCTCAGTTTAAAGGTCAAGTTAATGGCTTGGGACAGGGTTTTCATGTCATTTTAAGATCACTTCGGTGTTTTGTAAATGTGTGGGGAGTTATTTCTGAGGTCTGTGGGGTCCGCTCAGGCTGTGGTCCATCCCAGGCAGGCTGTGTCCCCCGGGCCTGCAGCTGGCTGGGTCTGGCTCTGGCCTGCATCACTTCTTACCTTTCTCCTTCCTCCTCTATAGGCATCTCAGGCAGTGGAGACCACCCCCCTCCCCCACCGGCAGAGGGCTCCCCAACATTTCCTCAGGGTGCCCCCATCCCCGGTGACCCCTGGCCAGGGGCACCCCCTCTCTTTGAGGACCCTCCACCTCCAGGCCCCAGTCGTCCCTTGAGAGACCCGCCTGAATCTGGAGTCTGGCCGCCTAAGCCTCCTAGAACCGATCCCCCTAAACCTCCCCGGCCTGACGACCCCTGGCCAGCAGGACCCCAGCCTCCAGAAAACCCCTGGCCGCCTGCCCCTGAGACGGACCACTGGCCTCAGGAGGAGCCAGACCATGACCTGCCCCGGGAAGAGTACAGATAGACAGACCTCCCAGAGGCCGCCCGAGCCCATCTCTACTGCTTCCCCTGAATTAGCCTAACCCTTCCTTCCTCACTCCCTCAATTGCATTCTCAGTCATGAAGGTGCGCTCTCGGCATTTCCTATCCCCTCCTGAGAGCCATATTTAGCGCCCACATCCCCCCTCTTTTTTCTCTAACAGCATAAGCATATATCCCTACCTCAGTCTAGTCCTCTCTTCGACTTGCGCCCCCCCTCCCCCAACGCCCCTTTCCTGGGTCCCCTCACTGCTCTGTGCTCTCTGCTGCCACCTGGTGGCTTACACTAGGAACTGTCAGGAGGCAATGATGGTGCTTCTGTGAAATGGAAATAAAAAGCATGTTTTCTTAATTTTGAATTGAGGTTGATTCTTTCCCAATGATGAGGTCCATCCTCACAGCCACACCCCACAGACATTGGAAGTAACTTCAGCTCCTGGCTTGCCATGTGCTCCAGGTCGTGGGACTCAGTCACAGGCGGCTGGAAGTGTAATGGACGAAGGGGTTCAGACCCATGCCGCATCCGGGGACCCTGGTTTTGGAGAACGGAAGCCAAGCTAAGCCTCTCTTCACTAGCTCATAGTTTTTGCAGACCCCTGCCGAGACACGGACGTTCCCAGGGCCATGTACAGGAAGACCAATCAATATTGTTCATCACAATATTTGTAGTTCCTATCAATTGTGTCTTGTTATAATTGTAATTATAAGCTCACTGCAGAATAACTCTAACACTTAGAGTCTCATGGTCACAGGACATACACTTCAATTTATACACGTATCTTTGTTACAGAGATATACAATAAGGACTTTCCAAAAATACAATAAAATACACAGAAAAAGATACAATGAAAGAATTTCATTAGGATAAAACTCTAGAGGAAAAGTGGAACAGAAAAGAAAAAGAAATGAATTGAGTCTGCAGACGGCTCAAGGGCTTAGGCCAGGAGAGGGCGCTGATCCGCCCAGCTGCGCGAAGACACTTCCCTGGAAAGCATAGGAATTGCAATGTTTAAACTCTTAATGGAAAATGTTAGCTGTTGACTTAAGAATATGTGAGGGGCACATTGCTTTTCAAAGTTCTTTTCCTAAAAATTTTTATTTATTGATTTGAGAGAGAGAAACATTGATTTGTTGTCCCACTTATTTATGATGCATTTGTTGTTTCTTGTATGTGCCCTGACCAGGGATCGAACCTGAAACTTTGGGGTATCAGCAAGCCGGTAGCTCAGTTGGTTAGAGTGTCATCCCAGGCACCAGTCTGGGCGAGTTAGGGAGGCAACCAATCAATGTTTCTCTTGCACATTTATGTTTCTCTCCCTCTCTAAAATCAATTAAAAAACATATCCTCAGGTGAGTATTAAAAAAATAAAATTCTTTTAGGGAGTATTTGAGCAGGAAAGTTCAAAGGGCAGGGTCCAGAGATCGTAATGACCTGTCAACTGAGGGGCTGACCCGGGGGGACGGAAGGGGGCAAGAAGAAACCGAGGGCTGGTGACCTCAGACTTCATGCCGAGGAGCCGGTTTGCTTATGTGGTAACTCCCACCAAAACCTGTAAGTGATCAGTTTAAAAACAGCCCTAGATTTAGAGAATAATTTTGGAACAGACAATTTAATGGGCCCCAAAGTGGTCTGGGTTCACCATTCATTCATTCATTCACTCACTCACTCACTCACTCAGTCATTATCTTATACCCTTACTACGTCCGTCAATGCTGGGTGCCCTGGGAGAGTATAAAGAATAAAAGTATATAGTTTCCAGTCTCAGGAAGCTTAACATTAAACTGGGGGCACAAGGCTTACATGCAAAGTTGCATCCGTCACAGATAGCAGGGATGCATGTAACTACATGACTACATGAGGAAACACAGAAGTACATAATAGCCTTGGCCGTCAACGCCCTGCGTTCCAACGAGACTCAAGGGGAGGGAGCTGAACAGTCAGGGCAGGCTTCCCGGGGGAGCACGCCTGGGAAGGGCAGGCTGAGTGTGTGCCTGGGCCTCCAGGGCTCCGCTCTCAGGGGCTGGTCCTGGCTGCCAGGCCGCCTTCCTCTCCCCAGCCAGTCGGATTTCTCCATCCGCCCTCCCAGCCACTGCTTGGGGTGCAGTTATGCCTGGCCTCCTCCCTCAGCCTTTGGGGAGCAGAGACTGTTCTGCACCCTCCACTGCGACCTGCACCGTTTGGGGGCCTCCTGACCCCAGTGTGCTGCCCCCCTGCGGCTGCCGGGCCTGTGCCAGGCGCAGGGAGTGCTGGGAGCACCTGGAGATGAGTCTCCACTGGCCCCCTCCCCCCAGCCCTAATGGCCGCAGACACGGGGCTCTCTACACCCAGTGCTCGGAGCCCAGGCTGCTCTCTGTGAGATTTCGCTTGGCCTCTTTCCCTTCCAGGTCCATGTCCTTGAGACAGGCCAGCCAGTCAGGACAAGCGGAGCAGGGAAACTGAGGCAGAACCGTTTATTAAAAACAGCAAGCAGTTTACAGCCATCAAAAATCAAAAACTCCTGTCTTCCCTGACCGAGGACACTTAAAAGTAAATGGTTTATTCTTCTCCTCAGTCAGAGGGTAAACAGCTTAAATCACTCTACTCTGGGAGACAGATAGCAGAAATCAAATTAGTGCTATTTCTGCCACCTTCACCCAAGGGCAGACGAAGTTCAGGGAATAAATGTCATATTGGCGAATCAGCATAAAGCTGGTTGAGATCCTCCCCTAAGACCTCCCCTAACACCCAGCCTTAAACCCTCAGGGAAGGACGTGGGCTGCCCTCCCCAGGAGCACGCCCCCTACCCCCAGCGCGCATCTCTCTAAGGGTCCGCAAGAGGTTTGCAACCAGGGGAGCAATGGGCGGTGGCAGCTGTCGGGGCTAACCCCTGAGCCTGTCTCCAAGGCCCCTCTCCTTCCACTTATCAGTGAGCAAGCAGCCCAGCCGGGGCTCTCCTGTTGCTCCTTCTACCCTAGGCCCTTCCTTGTTTCAGTGTCCCCAGCGTTAATAAACGTCCTCTCAAAATCATCTTTCCTGCAGGAAGCCAGGAGTTCACACACCACCAGCTGGCCTGTGCCAGGCCCCCTCTGGGCAGGTTCCAGTCTAGTAACATCCCTACCCCCTTCCCCTTCTCCCCACCCCATCACTTTTTAAATTTTATTATTATTTTTTTGTTAATCCTCAAGGATATATTTTGCATTGATTTTTAGAGAGAGTAGAAGGGAGAGGGAGAGACAGAGAAACATTGATGTAAGAGAGACACATCGATTGGTTTCCTCCCGCGCGTGCCCCCCCAAGTGGGCAATCAAGCCTGCAACCAAGGTACACGCCCTTGACCAGAATCGAACCCAGGCCCCTTCAGTCCTTGGGCCGATGCTCTATCCACTGAGCCAAACCGGCTAGGACCCTCCCCCCTTTTTTTTTTAAAATATATTTTATTGATTTTGTACAGAGAGGAAGGGAAAGGGATAGAGAGTTAGAAACATTGATGAGAGAGAAACATCAATCAGCTGCCTCCTGCACACTCCCTACTGGGGTTGTGCCCGCAACCAAGGTACGTGCCCTTGACTGGAATCGAACCCGGGACCCTTCAGTCCGCAGGCCGACGTTCTATCCACTGAGCCAAACCAATCAGGGCATCCTCCCCACTTTTTATTAATCCCTTTTACTTGAATAGTTGTCCCAGGATCTGCTTCTGGTGAATCAACCTAAGACACACAGTACAGTTCGCTGCAGACCATCACTGCTACTTTTTCCTGTGCCTGTGCTGTATGGTCACTGTTGTCAATGCCCTACAGATTAAGCTTCCACTTAATTTGCACAATAACTCCATCATTTTCACTATTTTGGAGAAGAGAAACAGGCCATGGAGAGGTACTGTCATGTGAGACCACACAGGGGACAAATGGCAAAATTGAGATTTGAACTCAGATCTGTCCTATGTCAATGTGTCTGGTTTTAACTACTACATGTTCCCATCTCTTCATTCATCTGTGTACCCCTGACACAAAATATAGTGCCTTGCCCTGGCTGCTTTGGCTCAGTGGATAGATTGTCGGCCTGCGGACCAAAGGGACCCGGGTTTGATTCTGGTCAAGGGCATGTATGTACCTCAGGTGTAGGCTCCTCCTGGGCCTGGGCCCTAGTTGGGGCACATGCAGGAGGCAACCAAACGATGTGTTCTCTCACATCAATATTTGTCTTTCCCTCCCTCTTCCACTCTCTCTAAAAATCAATGGAAAAATATCCTTGGGTGAGGATTAAAAACAACAACAACAACAACAACAAACAGTGCCTGGGCTTTCAAGGGCGTCTAATACATTGTATTAGTCACAGCTCTCCAGAGAAACAAAACCCATCTATATATATAAAAGGCTAACATGCTGTGTCCTTCCCTCCTCCTGATAGTTCGCTATGATGCACACTGACCACCAGGGGGCAGACGCTCAACACAGGAGCTGCTGAGCTGGGAGGAGGGAGCCTGATTCCTCGTGGGACTGTGTGATTCCACCTTCAGCTGTGGGTTATGTTGTTGCTGGGACACTGTCGGCCCCGAATCTGGTTTACTGCACACTTGCATTTGCATTCCACACCCTGTACAACAGCAACTTTACAGAGTGCCCTCTCGCACTCCGGGACTCCTCAGGGGATGTCGGAGAGCCAGTTTCAGCCCGATCCCCATAGGCCAGGCCGAGGGACCCCACCTGCTGGAGGGACCCCATTCACTCTGCAGATGCTTTTCTAGCCACGGAGCCACCCAGGTGCGGCGGGCCGGGGAGGGACCTTGGGAGGTTGGCTGCAGGGCATGTCTGGCCCTTCTCCCCCAGTCCTGCCCCGACAGCCACCTTCTAATTAATTTCCTCTTAATGTGCACGAATCCGTGCACCAGGTCACTAGTAGCATATAACAATGGAGATTCATCGTAGGAATTGGCTGGAGACCATGGAGCCATTATCTGCCATGGGCAAGCTGCACACCAGCACAGCCAGTGCCCTGATGCAGTGGAGTGGGAGCTGGGGAGTGGGTGGTGTAAGACCAGTCGTGGAGGGAGGAGAGGCCAGGGTGCCTGAGGCAGGGTAGGTGGGGCTGGGCGTCCCAGCTACAGGGGGACCTCCAGTTCTCTCCGCCCCTCAGAGATGGGACAACGCCCACCCAAGTTGTCCAGGGCGACTCTTCTGAGCTCAGTCCCCCAACTCCGATGCTAATCTCTCCCACCAACTCCCTCACCGTTTTAGCAGCTCCCTGGGTGTCCCACAGCCCAGCCTAGTGGGCAGGGAGTTAACCGCGTGGCGCTGGAGGCTGCGTTCATTGCTGAATGAATGGTGAGGCTGGGCAGCAGGGAGTAGTAGGAATGGTTAGAGTGAAGGGTTTAT